CGCTAATCGTGGTTGTGTTATCAGAATACACAACTATCCATTTGTTTCTGAGGTTATCTTTCCATCTTTCTAGCGCAGCTAATACTGTGAATGTTTCTTGCAAATTGATGTGTGCCGCGGATAACTCGGGATGGTCAGTGTTCCAGTTAATGTAAAACCAATCACCACCAAAGAAACCTCCGCCACCGACTGGGCATGCGTCAGTGGAGAACTCTTCTTTCTGTACTGGTTCAGATTCAATGAAAAACATTTTCCCGTTAAAAACGCCAAGGAATTTCGACCACCATGCCAAGTCGGCTCTTAGGAGGTTGGGTCGGATGTGGTGATGTGGGCGTCGCATTTTATTTACTGTGTCAATTATTCGCCGCAAGAATGTTCGACCGCCATATACTACTCGCGCCGCAAAATTGAGTTTGCCAACAAGGACTGCAAGTCCCATCTCGTGACTGATCGCTTCGCCATAGATTCACTTAATAAAATTCTTAGTTCGCATAGTTTGCGTTCGGGCAAAGTTAATTACCTATGCACAGTGTCAATTTCTAGTCCGAGAAAAGTCAGTTTTTGACAAGGGCTAACAGCCTTGTCCCAGTTTATTTGTAGTCCAAGTTCTCCTAGCAAAGTTATGAGTYCCTGATATGCTGTCTGACATTCATATTCRGTGTCGCTTATTATTAGAAAGTCATCAAGATAGGCAAGTACATTGTGACATCCCCTGTTTTTCATCATTCGCGTTATTGCTTGAGTGAGCCTATGGAAGACTTCAGGGCTCTTTGCTGCTCCAAACGGCAGTTTGCAGTCGTAAAGATATGTTAGATGATCGTCACCATGAAAACGCCATGCTAATCCTGTCGCGTTGTAGTTCGATGGATGGATAGGCACGTGGCGATAAGCACTTTTGAGGTCAATCTTAGCGAGATAAGCATTAGATTTGATGAGCGACACTGCTTTGTCAATGGTCACGTATCAGAAATGTTGTGAGTCACTGTATGTATTTACCCCGCCGTCTACGGGTCTACTGCAGTCATGTATTAAACGTAGTTTGTCACTGTCAGGTTTAGGTACCGCCCCTAAGGCACTCACAATTGTAGGTTTTGTTTTTGTGATAATGTAGTTTCCTAGTCCTATCTCGTCTTGAATCGTTTGTTCAACTTTGTCGCGTACGTCATGTGCGGTCACGGATTTGTAGTTCGTGACCTCTGCCTGTCGTAGTATGCTGTCCTGTGCTACGATTCGGAAACCGTTAGAAATACCCTCAAGTAAGAAGTCTTGGTCACAGTCGTTTGTCAGGTTTTCTTTCCATGCCTCTACATTTAGAGGACACGGGTGTAGTTCTGTCGTGTCGAGTCATGCGTTATGTTTCGGTGACGGATGTTGGTGTTGCGGATGAGGTTGATTGCAGTTAGCCACGAGACAAGTGTGTTGAAAGCGGSAATTAGGCCAATGACAGCCCGACAGGGAGTTAAATTGGCGGCAAACAGGTTGCGGTTGGCTATTAATAGTTGGGCGTGAATTAGAGGCTGTGTGTTTTGTTAGATTAGAAGTATTAGGTTGATTAACAGCGCGTCGCTTTATTAAAAAGCGAGTATGAAGATCGATGTTGCGAATCGCTGCCCCATCGAAACCCATACATGTGCTGCAACTTGCGATACTCGTTATCATAAAGCAAAACAGAGGCAAGTGTGTGTGATTCGAGCAGTTCCTCTATTTTAACATTATAGGCCAAGTAGTCCGAGATTTGACTTGTTCCCGTGAGCTTCCCTTTTTGGGCAAGTTCGTGCATTATTCTTGCGTTTGCTGCGACCCACATTGAGAGGGAAATACTTTCTAATTTAGGCTTGCCCAATTTCGCAGCGCGAAACACGATTTTAGCGCCAAACGGTCCACCGAGGTCCTGCTCTTCCTCGCCTGAGTCATACGATGTATTTGACACAAAGTCAGGAATTAACAAAGGCTTCTMACCTCCTTTCTTTTGCTGTTGGCCAAGGAAGACCTGTGGGTTGTTATCCACACGTTGAATAGGATCTTTGCTTTGCAGACTTTGTTCTGTTACTCCCAGCGTGAAAAGAGGGTCGTCCAGTGTTCCAACACCTTCGATTTTCTTGAGGAGTTCCTCAAGACCGCCGTCCTGCGCCAATGATTTTGTTGTCACTGGTTTCTCCTCGTTCTTTACGGCACTTATTGTAGGTGTTAGGTCATTGATGGCCTTCGTGATGAGTTTAGCTTGTCCCATCGTCAGCTTTAACGCTTTTATRTCATCTGTAGCTAGGAGCTTTAAAGCCTCCTCGTTGTCTAAGTCGTTCTTTTCTAATTGCGCCACAGTGGCCTCTTTGAGACCTGACTTCTCGGCCCAGGATGCGAAATCGAAAGACATTATTTAAAAAAG